GTTAAACCATCCATCCATGATTTTTTATGTAAATTTAATAACATTTTTTGTTCTAATTCATTTTTTCGATAATTTATACTAATTGAATAATAATGACGATTAAGACCATGAATCAATGCTTGAATAGATGGTTTTGTTAAATGACCTAAATTTGATGTTGTCTGTCGTGCTTCTTGACCAAGAACAAATACATTAGGATTTATTAAACGGAATGCGTCTATCACAACTTTGCCTTTTACACTTTGTACGGGATCAACAACAACAGCCTTAGAAAAAAACGAAATTTATCTAACTATACTTTTCTTCTCATCAATAAATACATACAACTGTTCGTTCAGTTAATGCTTCGAAACTCTGTTGAGTATTAATATCTACACCAGATAACCAACAGCCAAAACCTGGATGAGAATGATACCATCCAACAACCATTTCAGGTCGACCCGTTTGTTTGAGCATATCAAGCATTTTCGCTTGAAAAACTGGATCAACAGCTTCAACACTAACACCAGTACCTGATTGAGGCATAGCAAATACATCGATAACGCGAACTGTATAATCATCAACAAATTCACCTAACATTAATCTAAATAAGAAAAGAATTAGAATAGTTTAAGAACACGAATTCTTTACCCCATGACTTCCATGGGTACACCAGCACGACCATGTTTGAGCATTTTAAGTAATGATAATGATGATATATATACTTGTTCGGCTGTATCTACCATCGGTGTATCACCAGGAGGAGCACCACCTTGCATATCACGTAAGCCCCCAAGGCCCATATTACGCATAAAACGTTCCATTTTCGATTTAATTTGAGCTCAACTGACAAGAATAATTTAGTAAGACATGGTCAGCCATCATCATGAATCTTTTTTTTATTCGCCTAGTTCTTAACCAATAAAATATATTTAACAATCGATTTCTTGCATTAATGCATATAGTGTCGCTTCAGTTTGAATATATTATCAATACCAATGATTTTCATTAATAGCAATGAGCTCGTTGAAGCTAATCAATCAATCCTTTACAAAGCTTATATAAAAGAAAAAGAATTCTATACGTGTAAACTTCATCAATGATATCCCCGTAAAATCTATCTTGTTTTAAATATTTATTGTGAAACAGAATATTATTTATTATAATTCTTGTTTATATAGAAAATTATAAATCATGTTTTCGTTCCTGATAATTTTTAATCGTTGATTTAAGTTCTTCAATTGTTCGATTAAGTTTATTATTTAAATCTTGTTTATCACCAAGAGCAAACTGATTGATTTCTTTTTGTAATAATAAAAAACGTTGTAATTGATCAGTTTGATTTTGTTCTTTTAACCAATTCTGGAAATCATTTAAATCCGCTGCCTTTTCATTTGTATGATTTTCATCATTATGAGCATGTTCATCACCATCATGTAATTGTGCATCAAGAAAATCAATTGATGGTTGAATTAAACGTTTTGCAATTTCAACAACAGATGCATCATCATCATCATGATCATCATGTGCATGTGAATCAATCAGATCTAATGATGGACCAGCTTCTTCTAATCGAGTATTATTTGAAATCGAATGAGTGTCATTTGTCTCCGATGATCGATGAACATGATTATGAATCAAATCGAGTGACGGAAGACTTTTATTGGAATGTGATTGATTTTCATTCATAAATGGATCAAAATTTCCTAAAGAACGTATGAAAAATTAAATAAATATATACTATAGGATATAACCTGCTATTGGTATACGTGCTGCATCGAGCATGAACACCATTATTATAAGTATACTTAAAGTAAAATTCAACATTTTCATTATGTATTCATAGATATGTGTATATTTTATTTGTTGATATTGAATGACTTTCTTATATATCAACCAAACAGTGGCATCAGCTGGATGATATATTGTCTTTTCTTTGCCACGTCAATAGTGTATAAAAAAAGGAATTTAATTTACTACAATATCTGATAGTTTCCATATCAAACGGAAATATATCATTTTACTCATTACAAATCTGATTTGATCTTAGTTGTAACAGATGTTGAACAATAAACAATACATTCAATGATTGATATAAACTGTTTTGATCTATTTATTTATCTAATCCTGATATTACATGTATAGATAATATATTTCTTGCATATTAAGAAACATACAAAAAAGAAAAACAAAACATTTCCTAATTTGATTTTAAAAACGATTAGATTTGACAATATCGATTGGCTTCCGATTATCGTAAATTGACGGTGCTAATAAAAACAGGAGAAAATTAAATATCAAATATACAGTAAATAAATAATTATTCTATATACCTTGTAATATAATACCACATGTGCCAGCAATACAAGCTGTTGTGAATATATAAAGGAAAAGACGATCAATAACTAAAGCTACATATTTCCATTCTTCTTTAACCTATGATAGAAAAGAAAATAATTATATCTAAAAAGTTTATGATAGGACAAGATTGATTAATATTCATTGTCATAAACAAACTAGTCGTATATGTTATCAATATTTACTTTTTTCTCTTCATCTTCTTGTCTCATATGTGCCGCAATACATCGTAATCCATCAAATGCTCGTTTGATTTCACTCGGATATAGTGATATATCATTATCATCATCGGTTCTTTCAAGAATTTCTCGACTGGAATGTTCTCCATTATATAAAAATGTATTAACTTGATAGGAACTATTACGTATTGATGGAATAGAAAAATTTGATATCGTTTCTTTTTTTATCGAAGTTGGATAAGATATTGATTGATCATATTGTAATGGATGAAGTGTTTTTGGTCGACGCATTAATAACAGTTTGGGTAAGACTTGTAAGAATACACGTCGTACCCATGGTGGCATTTGATGTGTTAATGGTGAACGAAAATGTATATTAAGTACAACAACAGTAACAACAATAGATAATGTTACTAATATCATTGTAAATAAAAGATATTTACCAACTAATGGTACAACAAGTGATGTTGGAGGTATAAGTTCAGCTAACAGTAAAAAGAAAACTGTCAATGAAAGTAATATTGATATACAAAGTGCCACTTTTTCACCAGAATCTGATGGTAAATAGAATGTTAAAACAGTTAAAAATGATATTCCTACACAAGGAATAATTAAATTAACAGTATAAAATAATGTTTTACGACGAATCGTTATTAAAAATGTTATATCAGGATAAGTCTGTGGACAACATGTATATTTTCTTATATTACGTTGAGCTGGAACTTGCATTATATCCCATTCAACCGAACGATAAAAATCAGTTAAATCAATAGCATACGGTACACCTATTATTAGAAAGTCGATATATGTATGTATAAATAGATTAGAATTCAAATTTACTATTATTTCCATAGACAGGTGTTGAACCATTCGATTGATTAATATGAACAAGATCAACTTGTTCACCGGAATATGTCCATGAACCAAATTTCATTTGACAATGTTGAATATCTTAAATAATAAAAAATTATTTTATTCAATCTAATTATAAAATATTCATACGAACCAAATGGAAAGAATTCAACATTAATCGTACAACTTGATTTGTATATCGCCGGTGGCTAAAACAATAGAAATAAAAAAAATCTTGCCCTTCAACTTTTTCTTACTTCCCAAATAACACGACCATCAAAATAAACAGTCGCTTTTGTCATTAATGTTACTTCATAATTTCCATCTGCACTAAAATTAAAATATTTGTACACACATATATACATATATATAGCGATGATTACTTGTTATATAAAACAATATCAGGTAGCCAAATTTGTTGACTTGGAATATAAAGTACATCCACACCTCCATAATTACTTGGATCCCATCGAAGTTTATCATCATACCATTCCTATTCATATATATATCATAGATATTTATCGATGAAATTAATATATTTTACTTGTTTCAACCAAACATTGGATGTCATTATTTGATTCTTCTCATCCTTTTAAGAAAATATTATATTTATTTCAAAAAAATAAATCTAATACTTACAACATCGAGTAATTGTGTTAATCGAAGACCCAAATAGACTGTTAATTTCTCACTATTATTTTTAACCGGTCGAATTAATCGATTATACGAACGTACTGTAATTAATTCTTCATATAAACGTTTTGCTTCCGGATTGGCAATCGTAACTATATTAATATATAATTATTTGTAATTTTATTCATGTAAAACTTACCCTCAAAAAAACACCAACAAACATAGAATAATAGTGAAATAATTATATCCATTTTTATACATTGAAATCACCTAAAATAGAAATTTTCTTCTAAAGATATAAAAAATAGATAAAAAATAACCTTATCGCATAAGGAGAACATACATACATATGTTATTAATAAATCATACATTAGATGATAGTGATATATCGATAGATAAACTCGATTAACAGAACTTATTACTGTTATTTCAAAGAGTTAGAAAAACGATGTATGATCTTACTAGGTTCCATTTATTTTAGTCCACATTCATTCGTCATTATAGATAATATCATAATCTCTGTTGCGACTAATTAGATTCTAACTGTGAGAGGTAAAGATGTAATAGAGTTTTGTCTTTGATTAAGAACGAAAATGGGTAGTTTCTGCTCGTTATTAAACGAGAGTACGCATGCATGCACGATCGGGCTAGATTAAATCAATGCGTTCGCTTTTATTAATGATTTCTTGAAGTCATAACAATAAACTACTATCCTTTCTTTGTACCAAAAAAGAATTGAAAATTAAATTATCTCTTTTATTGAGGAGACGCAGAAGAACAAAAGGAAAAGATTTCTTACTTATTATAAGAATTTTCATATGATCGATTGACTTGTATAGATTTTTATGTGATTAATATTTTTGTTAGAGAGTCAACTATTGATATTAGATTCCCTTGGGATAACATTTTGAGGTCAATTTAATTGCAATAAGATCTGTTTTATCATCTTCGTTCTTTTTTTTTCTGCTTATTATCGATTAATAAGCGGAGAGAAAAGAAGAAGAAGAATAAGAATAACATTGATGACATTAATTTGACTACAATTTCTTCGTTCTCTTTTCTTTTCTCATCTTTATTTGCTTTGTTTATCCAAACAAGTCTATTTTCTATTCATTCATCATCTTTCTATTGCATTTATAACTCAACTATTCACTTACAATCCAATATATATTCGAAGAAAATTAATCTTTAGAAAGAACTAGCTTTCAAATACAAGCCTGATACTATCTATTTTTAATGATAAGTTCATGAAATCCTATCTATTTTCAATTCTATTTGGTATAGAATTCTTAATTAAAGATGGTAACATATTTAAATAAAAATAAACTAATAAAAATTTTTTTTCTAATAGGTATAAAATGTTCACATTATGAAGAACAATTATTCAAAGAATTATTTCAAGATTATAATCCATTAATACGACCTGTAAAAAAATTAGATGAAACAATAAATGTATCATTTAGTATTGCTTTATTACAAATAATTAGTGTGATTGAAAAAGAACAAGTACTTAAAACAAATGTTTGGTTACAAGTCGTATGTTTATAAGAAAAGAAATTAATAATAGATTTTTACCTACATATTTAGAAATGGCATGATTATCAAATGCAATGGAAACGAGAAAAATATGGTGGAATTCAATCAATACGTGTACCACCAAATCAAGTTTGGACACCGGATGTGCGTATTTATATTCAAAAGGAAAAAAAACTATAAGGATAAATCTCTAATTTTAGATTGTATTATTTAATAATGCTGATGGTAAATATGAAGCATCATTTAAATCACATGTTGTTATTTATTATAATGGTGATATGAATTGGGTACCACCTGCTATATATAAGTCAAGTTGTCATATTGATGTCAAATTTTTTCCTTTTGGTAAAAAATAAATTATTTAATTTGAAAAAAAACAATTAAGGAAAAATTATTTCTAGATGAACAAATGTGTGAATTACGTTTTGGATCTTGGACATATAATCAACATCAATTAAATTTTACATATTATAATGAAATAGAACGACATGTAACGATAAAAGATTATGTTGTTAGTGGTTCATGGGATCTTATGGATGGTCCAATGTCAATTCAACGACCATCAAATGAAACGGATACTTTATTTGATAATAGTTATCGACATGATCGAGTGGAATTTGTATGTAAACTTGTTATTCGACGTAAAACACTTTTCTATACAGTTAATTTAATTATTCCAACGGTGCTTATTTCATTTTTATCCATATTTGTTTTCTATTTACCAACTGATGCTGGTGAAAAAATGACATTATCTATATCTATTCTACTTGCATTAGTCGTTTTTCTCTTACTTATATCAAAAATTTTACCACCTACATCTATAGTTATACCATTAATAGCTAAATATCTTTTATTTACATTTATTATGAATATAATAACGATATTATGTACTGTTATTATTATTAATTATAATTATCGAACACCACGTACAAGTAAAATGCCTTATTGGATGAGAAGATTATTTATTGATATGTTACCACGAGTACTTCGAATGGAAAGACCACTTAAAGATGAAATAGAAAATGAAGATGAAAGAATTGAACAGACAAGAATAAATTATATTCGATCTTCGCGTGTTGTTTCAATAGCAACACCACCAATTATGAATAGTGATCAATCATTAACAACAGACAATGAAGAACAAGAAAGTGAAATGGATTCATTCTTAACAAAAGAAGTTTATGAAGCTGTTGAAGATCTTAGTTTTATTGCAAATCAAATGCGATCTGCTTGTTACTATGAAGAAGTATTTATATATAACGAAAGACTAAAACATCACATATACTTATTTTTCTCTCTCTTTTAAGATACGTGATGATTGGAAATATATTGCATCTGTTATCGATCGATTACAATTATATATATTTTTTGCAGTTACTTCTTTTGGTACACTATCGATTTTATTCAATGCACCACATATATTAAGTGTAGTTGATCAAAATGCAATACTTAAAAAATGGGATCCAACATTTGGTAATACTAGTTAAATATTATTCTATTTGGTGCCTTGACAATATTTTCTTTTTTTCAAAAAATAAATAAAAAAAAAACAAAAATAAATCACTTACACGAATTTTTGGTATATTGTGAACGATAGAAGATTTTACTATATAATGAACCAATCGATTATGGTGCTTTTCCTCTCTCTTTTTCTCTCTTACTAATTGATTTCAAATTGAATTAGTCGTTTCTCTTATATTACCATCATTGCCGCGCTCTCTTCAATCATGCAAATACTAAGATTACTGATCCTCGGTCTACAAATACACATATATATATATATGTGTGCATGTTTAAAAGTTTCTTTTCGTCTTTTCTCAGTTTTTCTTCTTCTCTCTCTAGTCTTTTTGCAGTTGTTGGCATTCATTTGATCAATATGTATGTGCGTGTATGCGACAATAGTGGGTGATGATGATGATGATGATAATGATAAAATTGTCGCGCATGCTAATTTATATGATTGTCAATAAGGATATAGACCATGAATTCCTTTGAATCACATCACGTAAGATGATCACTGAAACGTTATGAAGAAGGAAAAAAAAGACGTGCTCGTTTTCTGCTTAGCTTCCTGATAGTAATTGAACAGCTAAATATAAACGTCACATCTTCATTTTCTTCTTATTGATTAATCATCAATGATTTGCCAAATCTTTTTATTTCTATTCAATTATATGATTTTAAATACTGCCGGTAAAATATTTAATTAAATCTTTCATTGATATACATATATACATATTAATAGGAGTTAATATTCAGGAAGAAAATTTAATGAATATGTTATTTGGTAAAGAATCTCAATATAATGCACTTATAACTCCTATTGCAAATACAAGTGAACCATTAGATATTTATTTTGGTTTAACATTAGCACAAATAATAAATGTTTATGAAAAAGAACAAATTGTTAAAGTTAATGTTTGGTTACAACTTCGTTGGCATGATTATCAAATGAAATGGAATCCAGATCGATATGGTTTGTTGAATAAATCGAAATAATTAATAGAAAATGTTTTTTTTTGAGGTCATCTTGAAAGTATTCGTGTACCACCGGAAAAAGTGTGGACACCAGATTTAATGCTTTTTAATAATGCCGATGGTAAAATGTTTAATTGAATTATATTATTTTAATTATTTAAATTTTCTTAGGTAATTATGAAGTAAGTTATCGACCAAATGTAGTTATATCATCGGAAGGAAAAATTCTATGGATTCCAATTGCGATTTTTAAATTAACTTGTGTAAGTTTATTATATTATAATAAGAAAAAAAGAATATTAGTTTTCTTTTCTCTATTAGACAATCAATGTAGAATATTTTCCATTTGGTATGTTAAATGAAATCTTCTTGCTGTTTAAAAATATTTTTTGTATAGATGAACAAAAATGCGAATTAAGATTTGGTTCAACTGGACTTAGTGCTTCTCAAGTTCGGTTTGGTTTGTTTATTTTTTCTTTCTATTTTTTTGTAATTTAATCATATAATATTGCCCTAGGTTGGTATGCAACTGCTAATTCAATGGAATTATCCGATTATGTATCATCTGGGACATGGACATTACTTGATGCTCCAGCTAAGATTCTTATTATTCAATCAACTGAACCACCATTTGAATCTCGTACTGAAATGGTGTTTTTTATGAGTAAACTCTTCTTCTTCTTTTTTTAATCATCTGTTTATTTATTCTTCTGTTTAAGTTATTCGACGTCGACCTTTATTCTATACAATAAATTTAATTGTTCCAACATTAATGATTTCTCTTTTAAGCATCACATTATTTTGTTTACCAAATGATGCTGCAGAAAAAGTAACACTTTGTACATCAATACTCGTTGCTCTAGTCTTTTTTATGTTACTTATATCACGAATTCTTCCTTCAACATCATTAAGTGTTCCATTAATATCGAAATATTTAATGTTTACATTTATGATGAATCTCCTAACAGTTTGTTTATCAGTTGCTTCATTATATTTAAGTCATCATCGTATATTAATATTAACACCTGTACCAAATTGGATGAGAATTGTTTTTTTAAATACATTACCAACCTATTTATTTCTACATCGACCCTATGAATATCCAGAAATACGTCAACGACGATCAACAACAATAAATTCACCCGTATTTATACGAAAATTAAAAATCAATCAAATGAAATTACCTATTGAAATGCATTATTTAATTGAACAATTTTTAGCACGATCAAATGATATTAAATATTTATCAAAAAAAATTGAAAGTGATACAGAAGAAATGCAGGTAAGAAATTCCTCAAAAAATAAAAATAATCTAACCTTCTTTTTAAGATTTATAATGATTGGAAATTTATTTCATTGGTATTAGATCGTATACAATTATTTATTTTTCTTATTGTTACGTTTATTGGTACAATAGCTCTTTTACAAATACCAAAATTATTTGAATCACATCGAGATATTATTTAAAAATTCAGCAAAAAAAAAGACTCAATAAATATTTGATTTGATTATTGAATTATCATAAAAAAAAAATAATAAAGTTTCTTTTGCGTTTTCATCAATATTGTATGTCTTTTTTTTTGTTTCTGCAAGATTATCTTGACAACAGGATTTATTTACTGTTGCTAAGTTTACTACTCAAGGTGAGATATTTGATATATATATATATATATGCGTTTGAAGAATTACAATGGATTTTCTATTGACATTATTTTATTTATTTGCAAATTAAGAAAAGAATAAAAAAGCATCATTACAACATTTTTTTTCTTCTTTTATTCAGTAAAAAACAATCGATTTTTGCTTCCGTTTGAAAAACAATAGTAAAATTACACACACTCACATCGTCGGTCTCTTAACAATTTCTCTATTTTATTATATTACATACTCATAGAATTTCGAAAAACAGTCTGTTGTTTTTTTTTTTCTTCTTTCACGAAGTTTATCGAATAGTGCAGAATGGTATCAATAACAATGCTTGATAAAACATTAAGTGATCTACGCCGTGAAATAATTGATCTTCAACAGACAAATATTTCACCTAATTATGATACAAATAAATTATATTCAATAATAAATATTTCAAGAGATTCTTTAAAAGAAACAGAAAAATTTCAACAACAAATTTTAAATCAATTACAACAATTTGAAAATTCATTGGCAGATATCAATCAAATCTTACGAAATAATATTGAACAAAAATTACAACTTCAACATCAACAGCAATCAAGTATAGATACTCTTTTTTTTAATCTTATGAATATGATATATTACGATTTATAGGTGATGATATTGAAATTCGAGCTAAATTAATGGCATTGAATGCAGAAGCATTAGAATGTCGTGCAGTAGCTGTACAATTACAACAAGAGGCAAGAATGGTATTATCTAAAGCAGCTGAAATCGAGAAACTTGCTAATGATGAATTAGATCAACAAAAACTTGAAATGAAAGAAAAACAACAAGAAAAAGAACGAAATCGTGCTGCAGAACTTGAACGACGTGTAAAATTAGAAGAAGAACGTCAACGATTAAAAGTAAGTTCTCACATATCTAGAGAGAGAATATCGAGCCATATCGCTCCTAGACGTATGGTAAGAGTATCACAGGATGCTCTAGCATTGTACTTACTATTTATCGATGCAAGTATTCTGAAAACAAGGTCGAGAAGTCTGATCGATAGTCGGAAACTAGAGAAAAGCACGTTTTTTTCATTATGATTAAAATCGATTTTTTAGGCCAAGTTTAATCATAAAATGTGGATTTAATCATATTTTTTAGGAACTTCAACAACAACAAGAACGTATATTAGCAATGACTAAAATTCCATTACATGAAGATGAATATACGAATTGGTCAATACGCGAGTAAAATTTGTGTCTTTTATTAACAATTATATATATTCATTTATGTATAAAATATATAGATTTATGTATAATGATCAAAATCCACCTTGTATTATTCGAACTTCACCGAATGATTTATCAATGCCAATTGATATAACATATATAGATATTGCTGAAACTGAACATCTACTTGATAATCAAGAAGAACTTATTAGTACACCATTAAGAGTCAAATTCAATTCAGTTGTAATTATATTTAATTGTTTCGATAATATTTCGTTCTATTTTTTTCATCCTAGGAATCTAAACAGCAACTTATAATACTTGCTATTCCTTATATTATAAAACGATCATTACATCGAGAAAATATTATTAAAATTCGTCAATCAAATGGTGTATGGTTATCAACTGAAACAAATGAATCCAGTTTTGATTCATATAAAGTTTATACGAAAATAAAAATAGCAATAGAATTAAAATTTTGACTTTTTTTAGGATAAACATTTTGTTGAATGTAAATTAAATAAATCTTCCATATGTGCAGTAGTATCACGTTTAAAACGTGATACAATTTTTATAGAAAATCAAACATCTGATCGATATGTATCAAGTGCTGATCCGCGTTTTACACTTCAATGGCCTGAAAATGTTTCGAAAAATAATTTTTATATTCGTACTTGTATTCAACCAGTTGATTTACCTACATTTACACAATTTTGTCAACGTTTTATACATGAATGTCGAGGTTTATTAGCTGTTGGTCCTATCATTGAACTTAACTATGATGATATTAACTTACTTAAACCAATTCAATTTACATTACCAATTTTAGTACAACCGAAAAAGAAAACTCTACCATCAAAAACAACACAAATGTCAATGGATGTAGAAAATACTACTCAAGAATCTCAACAAGATATCATCGCTCAACAACAACAATTAATTTTTAAATCAATGCTTGGCGAAAGTTAGTAGAAAATAATTTTTTTTCAAACTAAAATTTTTGTTTTTTCTGAAGATTTAAGTAATGAACGACTGATTCTACTTTATTCGAATTCTAATGAAAATGTGTGGCATATTGATACAGATATTCGTTTAATTGATTCAAAACTTCATGATATTATTACAACTGATATACAATATTTACATAGTCGAATGATAGTTGTTCGATATGATAAACAATTAATGTCATTGAAACAATTACAAACAACACTTAGTTTATTTGAACAAACACTTAATCAACGTTCGGCTACATTAATTCTTCGTCATCGGTCATTAATTCCAAATGAAATATGTCTTACATGTTGTTCAACTCAGCGAATAGATACGATTGATAATGATATAAAAAAAGAAAATTATACGAATAATGATGAACAAATTAAAGAAATTATTTTACAAGAAGGTCAATTATTAGAGCTACGTTTTCGTGGAAATGTTTTACCTATTAATATTATTCAACATTCAACAATTCCATTTGCATTTAATACAAATTTTCCATTTTTTTTCGAAACAAATATTTCGGAAATAGATAAATATTGTCAACATTTATCATCATATTATTATGGATATATTCAAATATATTCAAAACGAAAACATTACCAAAATGTTCTCAAAGATATTGATAAGAAAAAACAACAAATAGATACTGTAAGTATTGATTATACATAGAAAATATTCAAGGTGAATATATGTATTATTTCTTTAGGTTAAACAAGAATCGCATGAAAATGATACTTGTCTTGCTGAAATACTTGTTAGTTTACCGAAAGTATCTAAAGAAGTTCGAATACCTATTGAGAAAACATTGTCGACATTTACTGGTGAAGGTATTTTAACTTCATCACTCTTTCGTGATATGTCAGCAAGTTTAGTAGGTGATGAATGGCGATGGTTAGCTAGTTGTTTAGGTATGACAAATATACGTATTGAAGCTATTGAACATGATTATCATAATGATGCTCCATATTATATGTTACTTACATGGTTTAAACGTGTTCCACGTTCATCTGATAAACTTTTAACATTAACTCATGCTTTAGTAAGTATAAATCGATGGGATTTAGCTCAAGAATTACAAACAATTAAAGATGAACAACGTCATGAACAACGAACACTTTCAAAAGAGCGTAATATAATAATTACTAAAAGAATTATTCTTTTTTTTTGTCATTCATTTTAGAACAATTAAAATTATTTCGAACACCATTTAATCGTATTTGCCAACGTGATGAATGTATTCGAATATGGAAACAATTAGCGAGAGAATTAATGTTAAATAATGAAGAAATACAACGTATTGAAGGACAATATCCATCTAAACATGAAAGATGTTTAAGAAGTTTAGAACATTGGGCTTTAAATCAAACATTAGTAGATATTCCATCTTTAGCTAGAATTATTAGAACGCTTGGATTCAAGTCTCTTGCACGTATGTATATATGGTAAATTTCATATGCATATTTCAAACTTTTCTTTCTTTAGGTGAAATTGAAAATATGGCATAATTATCAATATATGTATCATTGACATTTTGTTTATTCTGTATATTTCTAAGAGTTTGAAATATAACACACAAAAAATATAATGAATCTATACTTTTCAAAATAAATTTTCAAAGAATACTAATATTTTGACATCAACTATTTGATCATAGAATTCGACACATTTTATGGTTCATTACCATCGAGCAGGATCCTTTTCTACAACATTAATGCAGAGTTTTACTATAATCGCAAGGGACCTTTTATCTTTCGACGTCACCCAGAACGATATTTCAGGGTTTAGCTACTACTATATAAAACACTTTCTAGCTCAGCCCCACTAACAAGAACGAATAGATTTTTACTATTAGTTTATGAAGCCTCAGCTTACTTATATAATCATTAAAACAGAGTAAGTTTGAAAAGATTTGTTTTATTTATTGTTTCTGTTAAAATTACAAAACAAAAGGATCCTCTCATGATCATTATCAGCATCTATTCCATATTGAAATACTGTAGATAATATTATCACTGGTGGTTCTTGTCCCCATTCATTGCATCGAAGTAATTCATCGATTTTATTCATTACATTCGCTTCGATACCATTATATTCGATATTTAGTGAGGTGAGTGTCTGAATCCAAAAAGCAGAGGCAAAGAATTGGAATAGATAAAGAGAAAATGACAATTACTGTATTGTGTTGTAATGCATTAGCAAAATGTTGTGCTCCAATCTGTCCGATTTGATTATATCCAAGACTTAGTGTAGTGAGTGTCTAGATGCAAAAAGGGGAGGCAAACATATGAAATCGATTAAGAGAAAATGAGAATTACTTTGTTGTGTTGTAATGCATTAGCCAAATGTTGTGCTCCAGTCTCTCCGATACGATTGCCCGATAGATCTAGTGTGGTAAGTGTCTAGATGCGAAAGGTGGATATAAATATATGGTATGCATTAAGAGAGAATGAGAATTACTGTGTTGTATTTTAATGCATCAGCCAAAGACTTTGCTCCAATATCTCTGATATAATTGTCTCCGAGATTTAGTGTCGTGAGTGTCTGAATGAAAGAGTGGAGGCAAAGATATGGTATGAATTAAGAGAAAATGACAACTACTTTGTTGTGTTGTAATGCATCAGCCATATATTTTGCTCCAATATCTCCCATCCAATTATTTCGGAGATTTAGTATGGTGAGCGTCTATATTCGAAAAGTACGGGTAAAGATATGGTATGGAGTAAGAGAGGATCACAATTACTGTGTTGTGTTTTAATGCATCAGCCAAAGATTGTGCTCCAATATCTCTGATAAGATTTTCTCTGAGATTTAGTGTCGTAAGTGTCTGAATGGAAAAGTGGAGATGAACATATAGTATGGATTAAGAGAGGATGACAATTACTGTGTTGTATTGTAATGCATTAGATAAATATCGTGCTCCATCATATCCCATCTGATTGCTTCCAAGATTTAGTGTAATGAGTGTCTAGATTCGAAAAGTGAAGGCAAAGACATAGTACCGATAAAAAAAATGACAATTACTTTGTTGTGTTGTAACGCATTGCATAACTGTTTTAGTGCAGCATCTCCGGTACAATTGCCCGATAGATCTAGTGTGATAAGCGTCTATATGAAACAATGGAGGTAAATATATGGAATAGATAGAGAAAATGAGAGCTACTGTGTTGTGTTGTAATGCATTAGCCAAATGTTGTAGTGCAATGTTTTCGATCAGATCATTTTGGAGATCTAGTGTAGTTAGTGTCTAGATAAGAAATTGTAAGTAAAGATATAGTACTCATTGAGAGACAGTATAGTCGATTTGCGTGAGCTTGGTTTATGTTGGCGAAATGAATATTTTTGACCCTGTTCTACGACGTCTTAGTGTCCATAGGAATATATTCCTAAGATGTTATATGCCATATAGTGTTTGATAATATGTTATGAAAATCGACACTGAGAATAAGTTACGAAGGGGAAGGAAGTATAGAAACTTTTTAAGTGTAAGTTGCTATCATTTTTAAATATTTGCGATAGAGGGAAGAATTTTTTGTTATTGAATAAGAGTATGTGCGTTACTGCTGCGCTAAACAATTGTAAAACGTTGCATTATGTGCTCAAAGGGCAGTGGATTGTGGTAAATAACTTATAGAATAATAAAATGTGATGCAGCGCTTGTTAGTATATTGTAGGTAAGAGAAAAGATAGTTTCTTCGCAATGGCTGGCTAATGGACTAATTTCATGTTCATTGATGAAGCTCTTGATATGGTTTACATCAGAATTTCGTGTGAGTTATTTAATTTCGCTTCATTAGCAGGTATTATTTATATCGGAGCTACCTTATGGTTGTGTACATGAACCAAAATTAATTTATACAAAGTGAAGTGCTAAACAATTAATTCCATAATGTTAGATTTATTATGAGTACAAAACGAATGCATGCTGAAACGTCGGATAAAAGAGTGTCGCTTACGAATTATTCTTTAAGTTTTGTTGTTAGAAAATATTTCTTTAGATAAAACTCATTTCGAAGCACTTATTTTGAAAAAACATTTGCTGTAAAAATAGTATTCGTTGAAGAAGTTTTTTATCTAGATGGTATGGCATGAGTTATGCATTTGAATAGGAATTTGAATGTTGCTGTTAGTCAATTGTCTCTCCGCCCATATTCACTATTACGTATACCCACAC